AGTTGAGACTGTGTGTGACTGAGTTTCCTTCCCCCCTTCTTTTTTCCCTTGGAGGCCCTTAGCTTATTGGACAGAGCCACCCACAGTCAGGGCAGGTCATGCCCCCTCAGTTCACCAATCCACATGCCGGTTGTCTCTGTAAACACCTTCACACACCCAGAGGGTGCTCAACAAGTTTTCTAGGCATCTGTCAACCTAATCACATAGACAACCACAATTAACCATCACAGAAATTATAATTTTTGTTTTTAAGCTACTAAGTTTAGGTGTTGCAACAGTGGACTATGAATACTCAAGTATTTCTGTATCTGGAAATGGCCAATTTGTCCATGTCTTTGTGATGGACCCCATAGCCATCTGCAGTCCTGTTGCTTATTTGAGGACTCATCCTGCACTGGCTGCTTTGTTTACACTGTGAACATTTAAAACTTAAAAGAGATGTTTGACCTATGCAAAGATGGATGGAGATGGGAAAGGAAGGGGCTCCAATCATAAAACCCCTGCTAGGAATTCTGTGATTCTGTGGGTTTTTATGGATGGAAAGCCTCAATGAACCCACAATATAAAAGAGGAACAGTGATCTGGACGTGATGGTGCATGCCTTTAAGCCCAGCTACTCCTGAGGCTGGAGAATTGAGAGTTCAAGGCCAGCCTGGGCAACTTATCAGGATCCTGTCTCAAAATAAAGTAAAAAGAACTAGAGCTGTAACTTGCTGGTAGAATACCTGGGTGCAATCCCCAGTACCAAAAACAGAGGGGAGCAGAGGAAGTGCTTGTTCTTGCAAAAAGAAAAGACGTAGGAAAGGTTTGAAGAAGGCAGAGTTCTTCTAAGCCCAGGCCAGCCCGGCTATGTTGCCTGTTCTTCTAGGCTGGAATTGCAGCCAGTTGGGACCAGGGGACCCAGTCTGAAGACAGCTGTGCCCACTTCCCAGATGACTGCCACACATGCTCCAGAGCTCTGAGCTATCTCCATCGGTGTGGCGACTTTTTTTTTTTTTTTTTATGATGCCTTTCTGTCCTTTGTCCCTTCTTGGGGCTGCCAGGACTAGACATTTTTAAACTCTCTTTAAAGGACTTTTTGAAAAGTCCTCTTTCTTCATTAATCTCTCCCACTTCAACTCACACCTCTAAAAGTTTGGATCTGGATGATCCCAGATAAGGCCTGTGGGGCCCTCAGATACTGATGGTTGGGAGGTTTTCCAGAGCTCTCAGAAGTAAACCTTCCACATCTCAGAAAGTTACAGCTATTTCCTTACCTGGGATAGGTCTGGAAGATCTTTCTGATGTAAAGACATACCTTACCACCTGTGGCAGAAACCTGTTGGTGGAGACTTCCAGATCCTGCTGGTCTCTGGGAAGATTCCATAAGAAACCTGCCTCAATGGATGACTCATAACCCAGGAGCTGGATGTCTGCAGTGGAAAAGTACAGGAGGTGAGTGAGTGGGATGGAAGCTGTGTGGTTACACCTGGGCCTCCTATGAAAGTTCTAGAGAGGGACAACTGGCAGCAGCTAGACTCAGCCCCGGGACTGAGTCAAGATTACAAAAAGACTTCAAAGTCAAGATTTCACATGCTACCTGACCCTAAGAGAAACATTTTTAACTGTTGTATGTCACAGAATTCAAAGTGTCTAGGGTCTAGTCTGGAGTGTCCTGCCAGGCTCAGGAAATACACAGGCAGTCAAGGGTGTGGGTATTGAAATCAAATAGACCAGAGTTTGAGTTCCGGTTCACCATTTACTAGCTGGGTGACTTGGCAAGTTATTAATCTCTGACACTCTTTCCTCAAGGTAAGAAGCCCTGTCTCATAGAACTACTGCAAGTTTTAGGTGAGCAAATATATTAAAGCATTTCAGAGGGTGTTGGGAACATAATAAATATTCAGCAAAGGGTAATGATGATTGGAAAGAGTCCTGGTTAGGCTGTATGATTTCAGAAACGACACCTCAGAGGCTGAAGATGGCCTGGTTATGCTGACTCAAAGGAAGTAAGTGAAAAGAGGTGGCAGAAATTTGGGGGAAAGAAAAATGTTTCTGGGATTTGGGGTTAATTGGGACAGCCATCAGGGCTTAGGAGACACAGAACTTGGTATATAGAAGCAGGAGTACCAGAAGAGTGAGTTTCATAGGTTCACATTGAATGTTTTTTTTAAAAAAACATGCATTCCAATTTTGTGATGCATATATCATAGTATGCATTATGGCATATTTTGCTATAAAGAAATTCATAGCAATGAAAAGATTTCAAACTTAACTAGTTTATACCAACAGCTATTTCATCATAAAATTCCAGGGGAATGTGACCCCAAGGATATTTTCTTAATCTGTTCATTTGTAACTGCTGTGACCACATTCTGAATGTTCTATTTTTTGTGGTTTTCATATTTGGTTGTTTTGGTGGTGCTTGGAATCTAACCCAGGGCCTTGAGCGCCAGGCAGGCGCTCTACCACTGAACTACACTCTGAGCCCCTTCCATTGGTTTTTGAAAATCCTGGGAGAGTTTCTTTCTTTCTTTTTTTTTTTTTTTCCTGGTTTGTTATAGGTTCTTCATTTTTTAGATGTATTAGAATTGGCTTTGAAGATGGACAGGCATCTTATATAACTTTTGGCTAATCCAAGGTAGGTGAAGTCTGGCTTTAGCTGCATGGAGAAAGATAATGGTGATTTTGAATGGCACTGGAAAGGAGCTTTGGGGGGAAAGAAAGGACATGCATTATGCAGAAGCTGCTCAAGGGTTGGAGTACACAGGATAGCAACTCAGCAGGGGTGTGGAGGCTCCTGCTAGTTTCTTATTAGATTTGAACTCAGCCATGCTGTTATGAAACAGGGGCCCTTTGAAGAAACATTGGAAAGTACTTGGGTCACTAAGGGCAGAAATTCATGAAGTTCCCGTACCCTCAAGGAGCCCTCCCTCCCTTGACCATGGGAACCATAGGCTAAAGACAAAGGAGACCTCTGTCTTTCCCACCTTAGGAGCCTGAGGGAAGCAGGAACGCTTCAACTTGGCTCCGGAAGATTCATGTTAAACACAGTGTGGAGCTGCAACCCTCTCAAGAGCAGTGATTCAGAATGAGGTAAGAAAACTTGTGGAGGCAAGTCCTTTTCAACTCTTTAGGGTAGGAAAGTGGTCTGAGGTATGCATAGCAGGAATTATTTAATAGAAATTTTCAGTCTTGGAGATGGAGGGGACTTCCAGAACAATCTAGTCCAAACTTTTTGTTGCCATGGATCTCTTCTTTAAACAAAAGCTTCAGAGAGCCCAAAGTCAAACCCTTATGAAAACAAGATGGCTCTTGTTGCAAAAGTGGAGGGGAGGAGGGGAAAAGAAATCTAATTTATAAAATTAGAAAATTTCAAAAGAGTATCATGGAAGAAAACATTTTCATTTATGTTCATATCATAGGCTAAAGAAACATTGATTAGAAAAAAATACAATGCCCCAAATCCATTTAACTTAGAAGAGACTTTGGATCTGTAGGGGCATTTTCATTGGGAGACATGAGAACAGGGATGTCTTTTAGTGACATGTATATCTTTTAGTGACATGAAAAGGAGTCTTGGATGAAAACTTCAAGGGTTACAAGACTGTGCTGGGCTAACTTAAAACAACGTGTCCTACAGTACCACCAGGTGGCGCCCGCGTTCGGCATTTTGAGAACGTCTGGATTTCTTCTGGCGAGTCACAGGGCCTTGTGCCTTTTCAGGTTTAGAAAATCCGATTGGGCTTCACGCTCAAGAAAACACAGTTCTGTGGTTTAACCTCCTTCGCTCTCACTTTCATTCCAACTGTCGAAGTGCGCTTAACATCAGCGTTATTAAGGAGTGTGAAGTTTTCAGAAAGGGGCGAGGGAAAAAAAAAAAAAACTTCTCCAAACATACTAAAGAAAAGGAAGAGTCTTTCAAGAAGTCTGGTGCAGGAGGAGGAAGGCTGGGCTTTTGAAACTTTAATTCAGGGTTCACCACTGGATGAGGAAGCACGGAGTCTCTGGTCTCAAGTTTCCTCATTGGTAAAAATGGCTCTTTGAGCTCTATTATCTGTGGCATGCTGATGCAGGGAAGTTAGACAAACCCCAGCTTCAATTCTGGATCCCAGTTATAACTTTAAAACAGCGATAACATTTGGCATGGTTACTGAGATTAAATAATTTTCATAAATGCTAGTACTGTACGTAAATGGTCTTCATTATTATTGCCTTTTTTTGGGGGGGGGGGGGGAAGGAGGGATTGGGGGACCCGGCCCCCAGTTTAAAACAGCGATCACATTTGGCATGGTTACTGATTAAATAATTTTCATAAATGCTAGTACTTTACGTAAATGGCCTTCATTATTATTGCCTTTTTTTGGGGGGGGGGGAGAACGAGGGATTGAGGAGCACTCGACCACTGAGTCACATCCCCAGCCCTATTTTGTATTTTTATTTAGAGACAGGGTCTCCCTGAGTGGCTTAAGGCCTCGCTAAATTGCTGAAGCTGGCTTTGAATTTAGATCCTACAGCCTCAGCTTCCCAAGCCGCTGGGATTACAGGCGTGCGCCACGATGCCCGGCTTTATTATTGCCTTTTTCTGTCACCATCTCCCTCCGGACGGCCACTCCAGCAGTTGGGAAGTCTAAAACAATACACATATACATTTAGAATTCATATACATTCATGCAGGAGGTTTCAGCACTCCAGATTGCAAAGTGCTACTTAATTGTAGACTGTGAAGGCTGGCTGCACTTTGGGACAGATATCCAGGGTTTCACAAATCTTCTCCCTGGGCCTTTGCTTCCACCCCTAGCCGCGTGCCCTAACCATGCGCGCAGCAGCCCAAGCAGGCAGCTCAGGACGCGTGCTTCTCGCCTTTAATCACCAGCGACAGCGCTAAAGACACGGAGAAGCGCCCCGCCCCCGTGCGTCAGAGCGTAGTTGCGCAGAGGCGTTTCCCGGGGCGTGCCTCGGTTGCTAGGCGACCATGCCGCTCCCCCTCCCGCCCTTGCGCTCGGTCTCCCTCCTCCCAGTCCTGGCTAGTAGCGAGCGAAGGCGCGCGGAGCTGCAGTGTCTGGCAGAGAATCCCCGGGGAAGCGTCGCGCCCGGGAGGCAGCCTTCACAGCGCAGGTGGACGCGGCCCGCCGAGTCCGCCAACCGCCGCCCCTCCCCCCGCGGGGGGTCCGGAGCTCAAGATGGGAGGCACTGCTCGTGGGCCGGGCCGGAAGGATGCGGGTCCGCCCGGGGCCGGGCTCCCTCCCCAGCAGCGAAGGTAACGGCGCCGCGGGGTAACGGGCTAGGGGTGCCAGAGTGAGCGCTTGGCGCTGGTAGGCGAGGCCGGGGGTCGGGGAGGGTCTGGACTGGTGATCTAGCGAGCCCCCAGCAGGAGGGACGAGGGAAGGGGTCTGATTCCCTCCCTGGACAGGCCCCCTCCCTTCTTTTCCATCAGCGTCCCCCCTCCCGTCCCCAGCCCACCGTGAGTGGGGGAGGGGGCTGGAGCGGAGTTAGAGGAAGAATTACGACCCCTGGGCTGTCTCTGAAACCCTAGATCGGTGATATGGCAAGGGACTCCAGAAACCTGGGACTTTTCGTGGCTTTTCTTTTCTTTCTTTCTTTCTTTTTTTTTTTTAAGCAAAGCTGGGTAGTCTGGGAGCTATACCTTTGAAAGGAGCCCTGTTGCTCAGAGCAGATAACCCAGGGCTGAACTCTTGGGGTTTTGCTATGAGGGGTGCGGTCTAGCTTGGTATTTGAAGGTAACGGACTGTGCGGCGTAAGGCTCTCGCCGGATCCTATTTTAAGATTCTCCACCTTGCATTGTATTTTACGCCTAAGTGGAGAGAAGCCACCCACCCCACCCCCACCCCCACCCCCACACCCACACGCCCTCCGCCGCATTTGCATGGAGCCTTCTTGTGGTTAATTTGCTGTTAGTAGGAAATCTTCCAAGTGTTTAGCGTCTTTTTCTCAGTAAATGTGGATGCTTTTCCCTGTTTGTCTTATCATGCTAAGGCAAAAGGTCGGTCCCATTCAGACTATTTGGTTTCTGTCCGTGAAGCATTTCTCTGTTAAAAATTAGAAATAATTCTATTAAGAATGAGCATTTTTTAAAAGAACATTTCAAAAACATTTGTACTTTTTTTTTTACCCTTTGTATTTCTTTAATACAGTAATCACATCTAGAACTAATTTTATAAAACAGTTTTTAAGGGTGACTAAAATATTCCAGGATTTTTAAAGGCATTAAAAAAAAATTTCCCCCTGCAACAGGGTCATTGTTGTATTATTCATGGTTATATCACATAAAATGATACAGTGAAATGCTCATGTATTTAATTGGAAAATCCATGTTCTTGGTGGCAGATGAAATACATTATTCCAGGGCCATCTTGTGGATTAAATAGATCCTCTCTGTCTTTTGTGTTCCCTTGCAGTCGGGAAGCCACAGTGCTAAAGAACAGAGAAATGATCCTAAATCATTGAGCATTTTGCCTCCCCCATCTACCAGGAAATGAAGTGGGAATAGAGACAAAATTCAGTACATCTTGTAATTTGAAGCACTCCTTTAACTGTCTGCTATAGTATTCACTGTATTTTTCTACTAGTTGGGTAGCTGTAAGCATGTAAGTAAACAAATAAAGAGAAGACGGCTCTAAAAGGCCTTTTATTTCTTGCAATTAGACCCAAAAGTGTGTAAATGAACTGTTCTTTCCATCAACATGTGGTAAACATGCTCAGAGGAGAAGACAGCTCAGCCAGAGACAGAGATTAGAATCCATGTCTCAGGCTGAAAAAACGATCATCTCTGTCACACTTTCTTTCTGGTTTTTAGGATTCCTATACAAACTAGCCTTCATTTTCAAGTAGTAAGTTAATTTATAGTTCCTATTTTTTTTTTTTTTTTAGCAATACTCACAACAGGTAATCTGAGTTTTGACCATTTTAAAATGTAAATCTAGAAATGCTATTTTTTCTTTAAAAAAGGAAAAGACAATTTGGGATCATTTGTCAAATGCCCCAGTTTTTTATATTCAATGCCAAAATGCAGTGTGGACACTTATTTCTATTAACTGTTTTTTGTAGCAGGTATGAAGCAATTAAGACACAGTAGGTTTTAGAAAGGTGATTTATATCTTCCTTACTAACAGATCTTATCTATAATCCTTTCAACTAGATTGGGGGATGGTGTCTATGATACCTTCATGATGATAGATGAAACCAAGTGCCCACCCTGTTCTAATGTACTCTGCAATCCTTCTGAGCCGCCTCCACCCAGAAGACTGCATGTAAGTAAAGGACGTAATTCTTTGTGTTCTAATTGTCTTGGAAAAGATAAAGTACTAAATAATACTCAAGGTGTGGTTATGTATCACTGGCAACACAGACTCTTTGGTTGTTGTTTCTTTTGATTTCTTCTGGCTTTGGAAAAACAGTTTCTGCTGTCCAGGTTTAGCTTTTCAAAATCATTTTGATTTGGAGCCCACCTCTTTGAGTTCCTACTCAGATAAATATATGACACTGGGAAAAAGATTTTATTTAGGTGACATTTATTTTAGTAGAGGATAATACAGAGTATCACAAAGGCTCCTTTTAACAAAAACAAGCAAAAGAAATTATCTCAGAATTTGTGGATCTGCAGAATTCTCCCTGCAAGATAAAAATGCAGTCCTAGCTTATTAGTATGCTAAAAAGAACCATTTTATAACTCATAAATTAAACTTGAACAATACAGCTTGTTTTTTGATGCATTTAATCATTTTAGGAACTGTAGACATTAGCTTTTGATGCTGTTTTACAGAAGATAATGATAAAATTTATTCACATTTCCTCAGCATACACAGACCAGTAGGCAGAGCAAGGTTTGAACAAGTTTCAAGACAAGAAGAAACTATCCTTTGACTTAAATTGCACATACCACCTAATGAACATATTGAATACTTGAATTTAATTTGTAACATTTCTCCTTCATGTTTCTGTGTTTAAGACCTGAAAAAAAATGTTGTGTTATGTCCCCCGCCCCCATCAGAGATTGAACCAAGGGCTTCATACATGGTAAGCAGGCATTGTACCACTGAGCTATATCCAGAGCAATTTTTGTTTTGAGACAAGGTCTCACCAAGTTGCCCTGGGTAGCCTTGAGCCTTTGATCCTCCTGTCTCAGCTTCCTGAGTTGCTGGAATTATAGGCGTGCCTCACTATACCTAATCTGAAATTGTTACTATGTGGCAAAAATTACTTGCATTATTCCTATTCCATTCCAGGTTTTTGCTATTAAAATTAACACTTTCTACCCCTTTCAAGGCTAATAATATTACAAATCATGGGCTAAAATTATTTGGAAGGGTGGTCATCCCATTTCTGGAGTACAGTAGGGTTTCTTTTCATTCTCTGCAGGGTTCATTTCCATTCTCTGCATTTTCTTTCTTTTTAAAAACTTCCAAGAACCAGAAGAACTATGTCTACTTGTGTTGACCATTAGATTTCATGATGCCAGTACTAGATCATTGTAGGATGCTGATTACAGTTGAGCTGGTGTGTTAACATCTGATTTCAGTTTAACATCAATTCAGGGTTGATCCATGCTGATAACCTTCCAGTAGGTCACTTAAATTATATGTTTCAAAATCAAAATGAATTTTTTATTGCCTAGTGTTCAGAGTAACAATTTTGGGAAGCATAGATTTTTAGATTCTAATGCAATGGTATCTTTACAAATTTTACTAAAAAAAAAAGAAGTTTGACCTCTTGGTGGCACTTATAGTTCATTATGCTACGACTTTATCCTGAGGTCCTATTGCTCTTTTCACAAAGCCTTTTAGCTTTGTCATTTATTCTAGATGCTCTTACATACTCATTATAAACTAAATCATTGACCTAAAGGTTGTTACTGGGTTAAATTCTATGTTGCAGGGATAAAGATAGGGTCAGGAGGTAGGTAAAGGGTAGGTTTTTTAAATCTGGATGAGAAGACTATTCTTCTGAATTATCAACAAGATTTTTAGGACTCAAATAATGCAGTAGAAGGTTGTATTTGAAACATCCAAATTCACATTTTATATGTGTATATGAGGCATTCCTAAGAAATAAAGTATGGCCAGGCTTAGTGGCACACATCTTTAATCCCAGCAATTTAGGAGGCTGAGGCAGGAAAAATCACAAGTTTGAGGCAAGCCCACGTAATTTAGCAAGACCCTGTCTCAAAATAACATAAAACAGAGACTGGAGGTGTGGGTGAGTGGTAAAGTAACTGTGGGTTCAATTCCCAATGTGGGAGGATAGAAAAGGAGGGAGGGAAGAAAGAGAGAGAGAGAGAGAGAGAGAGAGAAAGAAAGAAAACATGGTAAGTCTGGATCTCTGGAAATAATTACATGGTATCAAAATATTTTCTATTATGATTATAACCTTAGACCGGAATTTTTTATAATTATTACATGTTAACATGTGAACACTGTAGATTCTCTGAGAACAGTGGAAGGAAGGTTTTATTTATAGCACAGAAGACTTGATATATAATTAATTCAGGCCAGTATTTGAATTATTTACAGGAAAGGAGAGAAAGATAAGGAAAGAACCACTTCCTCTGTTTGGAAAAATTCCTTCCTGGAATTCTGCAGGTTTGCTGGAAATGCAAACCTCTATACTCCATAGCGGACTACACCCTGGGTAGTATGTTCTCTTCTGGAAGCCACACCTTAAGAGAGACATAAAGTACAGCCCATAAAAAGAATGTGAACAGAGTATTAAGGAAACCCAACACATGGCAGGCAAGGTGAGAATAGTTGAAGGAAATGATGAACTTGCAGAAGAATGGTGGGGTCAGGGATACAACAGCCATTTTTAGGTATTCCAAGGGTTCTTACATGAAATTTGGATACTTCTGTATTCTTCCTGAGGGCAAAGTAAGGCTTATTTGCAGAAAGAGATTGAGTCTCCCTTTAAGGTAAAACCATGAGTCAGGAAATCCCAATGACATCCTTCATCTTATGGTAATAGTTCTATGGAAGTTAAACTTCTATTAGATTTCTGTTCTTATTAACTTACTGTGCCTGAGACCCTCTCTTATCACAAACAAATGAAGACCTCCAGAGCCAGCCCAAGGCAAGGGCAGTCTTATATGTAGGCAGAGTAGGTGAAATTTCCAGGGATGGACCCTGGACCACAAATACCTTTCCTACCAGCTTGTCATTGAGGACTGCAGTTCTTAGAGAGGCATTCTTTTGGGTTAAGGCATTGTTTTCCGTTAAAGTTCAAATATCACTGGAGAGGTAGCACATTAAATTGTATAGCAAGTTGAAAGCAGGCTTTGTGCTAGGGAGAAAGTGGGTGAGATGTTTCGTGAGGAGGCCTGTTGAGTGGGCCCACATTGGGCAGAAGCTGTATTTAGATGCTTAGTGGAGGGAGACTGAGATTGAGGAAGCCACCACAGAGAAATCATTAGGGAATAGGAGAGAGTGTAGGAATTTAAACCTTATTATACTGAGAATTTTGCCTAATCATAACTAGTATTTTGAACATGCTTTCCAGTTTGTGAGGGTCTTTCACATGTATTATTGATTATAGTTTGATCCACACAACATCCTGCAATTAGGTATTATTATTCATGTTATATAGATAAAAAAAAAAAAGATGAAGAACAAATAACCTGTCCAGAGACCTACAGCTTTTAAGTACTATAGCCAGTACCCAAACCTGGGTCTTCTAACTTCATTCTTTAGAATGTGTTCCAAAAGCTATAGCAGTAAATATTTAGGTACATTAAAATTAGGTAGTAAAAATTTTAAGGAAAACAGGCAAAGATGGTGTGCAGATGTTCATTTTCTGTTATGTAAATCTAACTTGAACCAAATAATTATAATTCTTTCCTCATTCAGCCAAATTTATTCCCTAATACATAGTAGTTCTGTAAGGAAAAAAAAAATCTGTTTTTTAGCATAGGTGCTAAGTTGTAAACTCTGAGTGTTCCAGTGAATACTGGATGGGTGACTGTGAACCACTTCTGTTTTTTCATCCCTACAAACAGGAATAGTTGTTTGACATAATTATTGATAAAAAGGATGTTGCATTGCATTTGTCTTAGCAGGTTATTGGGACTGTGTCTACAGGCCTATTTGTTTTCTTTTCTATTTTAGTATCAGAAAAACCACAGCGTGCCCATATCTGGCCTCTTTAAAGCTAAATGCCAAATTGTGGCCATAATCAAACTGGTTGCTTCAGTTTTGTTTTAAGATTTTATGATAGTTCATGTAACTCTTAAGTACTCTATAAATATTGAAATTGATTAAATTATTTTTAAAGGACCAGGAAGGGACTAAGTCCTGCTTTTATAACTAGATCAGGGGCTATTTGACATATGCCAACACTGAAAATTTTTATCCTTTTTTGTTATTTGGGTTTTCATTTTTGTATCATTTCTTTTTTTAGTTTTGGTAATATATAACTTTTGGTTTACTTAGGTTAAGTTAAAATTCAAATTTTTTAAATGTTTGATTACTTTTTAACTTATATTTTTGGAGATTTTTAACAAGTTTAGAGCTTTTCTGGAATTTTTGTCTTTGATACTGGAGGTCCCCTGAAATAGTCAGATTAGGGTCCATTGGAAAAAAACAGACGTTCTTTTAAGTATGGAACACTTTTTTTTTTTTTTAACAATAGATTTTTTTCTTTATTCTTAGCTCATTAATGTATCTGAACAATTTTGTTTTTTCCCTTAAATATTTATATTTAAGGTATACATCATGATTTTTGTTGTTGTTGTTGATAATTGGATGTTGGGGATTAAACCCATGGGTGCTTAACCACTAAGCCATATCCCCAACCCTTTTTCTTTTATTTTTTAGTTTGAGACAGAGTCCTATTAAATTGTTTGGGCTTTGTTAAGTTCCTGAGGCTGACCTTGAACTTGAGATTTTCCTGCCTCAGCCTTTGAAGTCTCTGGGATTACAGGCATGAGCCTCCACATCCAACTAGGATAAGAAATGGTTATGCTCTCAAGCCAGTTAGCACATTCATCAGCTCACAGTTACCCTTTTTATCTAACTATTAATTATTTTTAGGTGTTTGGCTATTTTTGCTTTTGCTTTTGTTTTCCTTAGTCATATTTCAAAGAATCTTGTTTCAATTCACAGAATCCTATTTTAATTCAGAGAAATAAGTAGAACTTTTTTCTCTGGGATACTGTTCCTTCCAAGAAAAGTGTAAGCAAATTGAGGTAAAAGAGTAGCACTCCTTTATCTCAGAGGCACTTGGAAAAAGCTCTTCAGGGGCCTCGGATTCTTGGTTATTTATCAGCTACATTGAAAGTTGGCCCAGATGGTTTCAAGAGTTAGAATTTCCATGACTTCATGTGCTGTTAGAAGGCTGCAGTAATGTATTTGAGGACCTGGGGGTTGATGAGGAGGCTAGGTCAGAACCATAAAGATACTTGAAATAATTAGTACATAATGTTAAACAGTATATATAATCAAGAGCGAATCATGTGGTGTAGGCTGCAGTTAAATCATGAAGTTAATTATTATGGGCTTGAAGTAGTTCTAAGTGAAAGAGAGTGGACTTAAATTGGGTCTGAAGGAGTAGAGGATGAGAGTGAATGGGGGGAGGGATGAAAAGATTCTCAGGATAAGACAGACCTATGAGAAAGAACCTAGCATGCCAAGGGATGGGAAGACAATCATCCTGCCTTGAGCAGGATTAGGGTGGACTTAATCTTCAGGAAGTCAGGATTAATTAGGAGACCCTTGCTTTGCTCATTGTATCCTTTTTGTGTCATTTTAACCTTAAAACTAACACAACTGAACATATTTTGATGTTCTTAGGTTGGAGGGAAGGTCCCTTCCTCTTACTAGTGTCTGTAACATTGTATTCATTTTCTCATTTACAGATCACTACTGAGCATTTAACAAGAGAGCATTCTCAGCACTTTATGAATGGAGGTGAGATAAAAGTAGAACAGCTGTTTCAAGAATTTGGTAGCAGCAAATCTGGCACTCTTCAGTCAGATGGCATCACCAACTCTGAAAAATGCTCTCCAATTGTTTCTCAAGGGAAAAGTTCAGATAGCTTAAATATAATTAAATCTAACAGTTCATCCAAAGCACCCAAAGTGGTACCTCTGACCCCTGAGCAAGCGCTGAAGCAGTACAAACATCACCTCACTGCTTATGAGAAGCTGGAAATCATCAATTACCCAGAAATTTATTTTGTTGGTCCAAATGCCAAGAAAAGACATGGAGTTGTTGGTGGTCCCAATAATGGGGGATATGATGATGCCGATGGGGCCTATATTCATGTCCCTCGAGACCATCTAGCTTATCGGTATGAAGTGCTGAAAATTATTGGCAAGGGGAGTTTTGGGCAAGTAGCTCGGGTCTATGATCACAAACTTCGACAGTATGTGGCCCTGAAAATGGTGCGCAATGAAAAGCGCTTTCATCGTCAAGCAGCTGAGGAGATCCGGATTTTAGAGCATCTTAAAAAACAGGATAAAACTGGTAGCATGAATGTTATCCACATGTTGGAAAGTTTCACGTTCCGGAACCATGTTTGCATGGCCTTTGAATTGCTGAGCATAGACCTTTATGAGCTAATTAAAAAAAATAAATTTCAAGGCTTTAGTGTCCAGTTGGTACGCAAATTTGCCCAATCTATCTTGCAGTCCTTGGATGCTCTTCACAAAAATAAGATCATTCACTGCGATCTGAAACCAGAAAACATTCTTCTGAAACACCACGGGCGCAGTGCAACTAAAGTCATTGACTTTGGGTCCAGTTGTTTTGAGTACCAGAAACTTTATACATATATCCAGTCTCGTTTCTACAGAGCTCCAGAGATCATCTTAGGGTGCCGCTACAGCACACCTATTGACATATGGAGTTTTGGCTGCATCCTTGCAGAACTTTTAACAGGACAGCCTCTGTTCCCTGGAGAGGATGAAGGAGATCAGTTGGCTTGCATGATGGAGCTTCTAGGAATGCCACCACCAAAACTTTTAGAGCAATCCAAACGTGCCAAGTACTTTATTAACTCTAAGGGCCTACCTCGCTACTGCTCTGTGACTACTCAGGCAGATGGGAGGGTTGTACTTGTGGGGGGTCGCTCACGTAGGGGTAAAAAGCGGGGTCCCCCAGGCAGCAGAGACTGGGGGACAGCACTGAAAGGGTGTGATGACTACTTGTTTATAGAATTCCTGAAAAGATGTCTTCATTGGGACCCCTCTGCCCGCCTGACCCCAGCTCAAGCATTAAGACACCCTTGGATTAGCAAGTCTGTGCCCAGACCTCTCACCATTGAAAAGGTGTCAGGGAAACGAGTAGTTAATCCTACGAATGCTTTCCAGGGACTGGGTTCCAAGCTGCCTCCAGTTGTTGGAATTGCCAGTAAGCTTAAAGCTAACTTAATGTCAGAAACCAGTGGTGGTATACCTCTGTGCAGCGTATTGCCAAAACTGATTAGCTAACGGACAGTTCAGAGATGCATATGTATGTATTTTAATACTTTGCAAACCTGCAAATGGAAAACAATGCAAGCCCATTGGTGGATATGTTTTTGTTAGACTAGACTTCTTTTTTTAAACAAGACAAAACATTTTTATATGACTATAAAAGAACTCTTCAAGGGCTAATTACCTAACCAGCTTGTATTGGCCATCTGGAATATACATTAAATGACTTTTTATAGGTCAATGCATCTTTCTTATTATCATCAGATGTACTTCAACCTGTATATATTCTATTGGTTTGAATCTCTTTCTTCCAAGATGGATGGGATACCAAAAATATATGCTCACTACTCCTCTCCTATCTCCCTCAGTATCCATTTTGGAGGGGTAATTTGGGAAGTTGTGGTAGTTGTAGATGAGAGATGCAAAGCTAGATCTCTTGCTCTGGCAGGCCATTCTGTGGGCTTATTCTAAGTGAAGGGGCTCACAGCAGAATATGAGGTGAGGGAGCACCTCAAAGCTATTGGTCACCTGTACAATTGGTGTCGTTTTTCACTTCCCATTATGCACAGTATTTTTTATTTATGTTATTATTGCTATTATTTTGCCTCATCTTTGTTCCTGAACACTGAAAGCATCTTACAGACGTCTCACCACCTTACCAAAAAACCTTGTACGTTACTGCTGGGGTTTGAATAAGTCTTCCCTAAAGGCCTGTGTATTGTATTGAAGGCTTGGTCCCGGCCCTCGGTTCTCTTGGGAGGTAGTAGAACCTATAAGAAGTGGGTCCTGGTGGAAGTTTTTCAGGTCTACTGGGCATTTGACCTTGAAGGGAACTGTGGGACCCTCGTTTCTTTCTCTTCCTCTTTGATTCTCAGGCATTAGATGAACGGCTTTGCTCTGCCACCACAATGTTATTCCCACCAGAATGGCCACTGCAGACCCAAAGCAATGAGGCCAATTGGTCATGGAGTGGAACCTTCAAACTGTGAGCCAAAATAAACCTTTTCTCTTTATAAAAATTGATTTATCTCAGGTATTTGTTATAGTAATAGAAAGCTGACTCACACAGGGGCCCATTTTAAAGCCAAGTCATATACATTATTTCTCCTCCATCTCCAAGGAAGATAAAGCAACTTATTTGCCCCCAGCTACCTCCAAATGTTAAAGGTAGAATCAGCATGAAAACTGCAGTTTCCTAACTCCTTGGTCATCCGTGGACTAGCTGCTTGCTGGATTTTTGTGGATTCCTGTCCTTGTGAAACAGACCTCTGTTAGGTAAACTCGCTACAGTTTAATAAATGTTTTCCTTCTCTGTTTCCAGCTACTTATCACCTTAATATGCCACATTTTTCCACTTTAATTTTGAGTTAGGCACCTTCCTAGATTTTGAGCAGACTTCAGTTATATGATGAAAATTGTTTAAAAAATCCAGAAACTTGTGATAATGCAGTTTCCCCTTTGTTTTTCCTAATTGCATATTCAACAGGCTTTCTTTTTCTCTGCTAAGATTGAAAGTTAAACAGTGAAGGCTGGTAATACAACTAATTGCTGGCCAAATGGCTTACTGGACCTGGAGAGCTTGTTGGGAGGTTCTAGCAGAGGAGCACAGCTACTCATATACCCTTGACTGAATAACGGTCTTCCTCTATCGGGAACTTTGTCCTCTTTGACCGAGCACACAGCTTTGGGAGGGATGCTTGTGGAGCAGTGAGGGAGGAAGAGGACATCTGCCTAGCTAGCCAGATCAGCTGAATCAACCCCAGTGATCTGTGGAGTGACAGATTTTGCAGCCAGATCACCCTCAAATCCCCGAATGGCTTCCTGGAAAGGTGGAGAACTAAATAACTCACTCAGTGCTGCTGTTTATTTTTATTTTTTCTATTCATTCCTCTACTTCTGTGCTCCTCAAGAATGAAAGTATCTCCAAGTTCTGTCCTCAGTGTGTGTTCTTAGAGCATAACAGTTCTCAGAATGACCTCATTCAGTTTTTATTCTAGAATCTAGTATCTGCAAACTCCATAAGATTGGAAGGAGGCTTCTTTATTGGATGAAACAGTCACAGAGGGGAAGAAAAATAGCTATGGACATATTATTTAAGGAACTTTGACCTTAGCCACATTATTCCTGGCTGCTTCAATGCAGATGTGGACAGTGAGAACAGAGACCTCAGCCTCTTCCAAAGGAGGAAGTCTTGATACTTTTGGTGACTGAAGAGCTGGATTATTTAAAAACCTTAATGATCATATTTACTCCTGGTTTACAGAAGGCAAAGGAATAGACAACTCCTTTAGAGCCTTCTAACTTCTGCTGAATTCTCTAACTTGCTGGAGAAGTTGGAGAGTCTCCCTCATTATCTAGGCAGAGCATATGTTGTGGTTGTTTTGCTCGGTGTTATCAGAGTGGGAGACCTGCTCTCAAAAATGGTTAAAAGGATTGCTGCCCCAAATGACGCACAGTAGATTTCTGTGTTGGAGTTTCTGTGAGCAATCTCCATGGTTAGCCAGTGCTGCACCTGAACTTGGGAGAGAAAGGAGCCTCTAGCTGAGACTGGCATGTGCTCCATTCTCTGTAGTGAATGGACTGTGAGGTCACTGAGACTGAGCTGAGGTGAAAGGATGCAGACAGCCTATGACACTGTAGAGAAATTCTAAAAGATCTGGAAAGGTGAATGTATGTGCTTTGGCTTAAATTTGGCAACCAGGAGAGTGATGCAGAGCAGAGTCATTCAAGTTGGCATGCCTGCCTTCTGCGGGTGGGTTCAAGTTTGGGGAGAGTGGGCTGTTTTAAAATTTGGTGCTGGCTGTGTAGATAGATTTGAGAAGATTTACGGGTGTGTTAAGTTCAGAACAAGTTGTGGTTTTAGAGGCTGTCACCCTGTGCCCTCTTTTAAATGTTCACTTGAATCTCTGCTCAGCCCTAGCAGTGACTGACTGAATTGGACCAAAGTTCATGCCGACATTCATGCTGTGGCTTACAGTGAGCGACTAGATTGTTCTTTAGTTGCTATTGTTCTAGCCATGTCAGTTAAACAGATCAAGTGGGTTGACTTACTGATTTCCAAAATGGCAAAATCAACTGAATTTACAAATTGTTGTTAACATAGTAGAAAAGTTAGATTAGAATTTTTGTTTTATTTCATTTTTAAAATAATTTTTTTTTCTTTCAACCTGGGGACTTGGCTAATCCAGTTAATACCTGCTCATATTATTACACTGTATTCCATCTTCTACCCCCAGTGATTCATCTGTTCATTCATGTGCTTTCATGATCTCTTCTTTCAGAATGGACAGGCCTATGTTCTTATGATATTCTGAATTAACAAATTTTTTCCTTTTTTTTTTTTTTGTGGTACTGGGGATTGATCCCACAGCTTGGCACATTCTAGGGATGCACTCTGCTGCTCTTACCAAGCAGCAGAAGGGTGCCTGTTGATAATGTGCAGATCATGAAAGCTCATTTCCTTCATGTACAAGGAGCATGCTCACGTCTTCTTTAAGTTGACCTGTACAATCTTTTATATCTTTCTTTTTGGGGAAAGTTTATCAACTAAGGGTTACATGAGGCCACTTTCTTCTGGTCCAACAGCAGACACAATTACCTTGGAAACAATGAAAAGAAAAATGCAGCCATAACCTGTGATGAAGGATTCTGCTTCTGTCCCACAGGGGTTCTGTGAAAGAGGAGAGTCTAGGCAAGACCTTCTTTCCAAGAAGAAATTGACTTAGACCATATTTGCATACTTTCTTCTTAGGTGTCAAAGGGTGTTTGGGGTAAACAGGGTAACTGGCTAATGCAGCATGTTAGTTTTTATGATATTTAATCTGTTAAGAATGGGCTTTATTGCATGGTCAGAAACCAGAAAATTAAATACAAATTTCAACCATGAAACAGTTTCATTCTGTAGCAACTGGTTATGTTAAAATACCTTTGATTTTGTCTAATTCCCAGCTAGACATAATTAAAGTTAAATGCTAAATTTTAGGTAGCAGCTGATAAATGGTTGTAAGCTTTCCAGACAGAGCACTCCTATTGTTTTAATGAATCATGGAAAACTTTGTCATTTATTTTTAATTCTTTCTTTTGCATCTATTATTTGATGTCATCAGCATGAGCATGGAAGTTGGAAAGGTGACAATGATTGTTCTAGACAGCCTCCATATGCTTTTTCTCATCTGTGAATTAAGGATAAGTACTTATCCTTGAACTAGGCAGGATTGCCAGCAAATGTCTTCCTCTGCCTCTTCAGAATCACTGGACATGATGCATCTATATACACTGCCTATACATAGAGCAACTGCAGACAGCTGTGATATCAAAACTGGAGCCCACACAAATAAGTGAGAAAAGGCCAGGGCTTGGCAAGTCGAGGAAGAATTGTCCTCTGCCAGATATCAACCTCCTAATTTTAAATAATGTTTTCATTATCCTTATTTCATCATGTCCCTCTTTCGATTTCAATCTATACTTCCTGAAGCCCAAGAATTTAAAAGAACTTCTGGGCTTGATGAAGGGTAACCCTTTCCAAGTGTCTGTTGAATTAGGCCTGCTGATTTTAATGAGAAAATTTTTTGAGTATCACAGTAAACCCATCCATGTAAGGACTAAAAGCTCACTGGTTCCTGAGATCCATAACTCCTGAGATAAACCAGAGCCACAAATATATTGTCTAGACTTTGACAGAGCTGGATATACTTCTTAATATAGCTCACCCACTGCTAAGTTGAGCCAAAGCTCTGATATTTTTCTATAACAGGAGAAGCATGCCTGACGAGAGACTAGAAAGATTCTTACCTCCTCTGCCACCACACAAATAGACACAAATAGAGAAAGCAGAGCCCCAGATAAGGCCAAATGGTGTTCTGTGGCTATTTTAGCTCAGAATGTCAGGCTCCAAACCATTAGGTTTAAGTCATTTTGGTGTCATGGGATTCTATCATTGTTCATTTGAGCCTGCTGACACGCTTCCTCTGGAAAGTGCAGCTTAGCATGGATGAGTCAGTGTTTTGTTTTGTTTCTTATTATTATTTTGGGATGTTTGTTTTTGAAAAATATATAAAGGAATTGTTTTGAGAATTTTTTTAGTATCTTGTGATTGCTTCACAGCCAAGGCATAGAGCCATTTCAGCAGGACCTGAGTGCCACACGCTGAAGCCACCCTGTCCCTGAAGCAGGGTGAGAACCAGTCACTCTGGATTATTTGGGCTGTGCTGCAGGTACAGACTCTCTGACTTGATGGGATGATAAAGAAAGAACAGTGCTCAACAAAGGCAGTGCTGGGGTAGGGCAGGGAGCAGAGGAGAAGCAGTCTTGCCAGGACTAGGCCAGTGCTCCTCTAAATGGCCAGAGCTGCTGTCACCCGGCTGGTTTGCGAGCTGTGGCATTGCTGAGGACAGGAAACTGAGGAAATGTGTAGAATTCAGGGATGAACACCTTCTTGGGAACCCTGCTGTTAGCAGTCCCATCAGGAAGCCTCACATGGACCCTCTGGGGTCCAAACTTAGTTTAGGGATAAAGCCTCACAGCTTCCCAGAGTACAGTTTATTTGGGAAGTTTAAGTGTTTTTTAAGGCCCCTGCCTTGGCCTGTGGTAGAACTGAGTAAATGGAAGGAGAGAGGGAACAATGTGCTTAGGGGCCTTTGGGCTTCTCTGCTCCAGCCTCTTCTGATCTGGCCCTGGGCCATTATTGCCCTGGCAACAGGAGCTAATTGGACACTGAACTCAGGGACTGCCTTCTGCCATCCTTGAATTGCCCCCCAGGTTCTTGAACAGACTTTCTGCCTTACAGGAGCTTGGCCAAAGCTAGAGATGGGCCTTCCCATATTCACAGGAAGCAACTGCATGTTGGGTAAACTGACTGCTGCTGGTGGGACTATAAGGCAGGCAGAACTTAAAAGAATATCTAGCCCTCAATACAGATGTTAAAATTAACCCATGATCAAGTACACAGCACTGCCATGACATTTTATGCCATTTAAGACAAAAAACTATCAGGTTAAAAAAAGGCAGTGAAAAGTGCAGTGAGGGCTACAGGAAGGAATTTGTCAGTCCAAAGGCAAAAATCATGAAGTGACTGCAGCCAGACCATGCTGATACTGACTAAAGACCAAACTTGACCTTACCATAGCATGGGCACAGTTTGACAGGTTGGCTTTGTTTTGCAGAGGTCACCTGGCCTACCTTTGCATCTTTGCTGCTGGTGAACTGATGCGGAACAGATCCAGGACACCCAGTCTGAACACTGCAGAGGGCGGAGCCCTGGCCCAAGCCCAATTTACCTCTGCTCTTCTTGAAGCAAATTCATACGTGCCTGTTGACGCATTTATTCTTTCAACAGTGACTTATGGAGCATGTTTTATGTGCCAAGGGAGTACTCCGGTGGTGTTTTTGAAGGTCAGGGAGCATGGACAGCATTGTAGACCACAGGTTCAGAATTTAACAAAAGCTGGGCAATGGGTTTAGGGGAAATTGCCAAGAAGTGACCTACAGGCTGTTCTGATTTTAAAATTTGTATAAATCTGCAAGTAAGTCGGGTGGAAAAGGGGGATGGTTTCGAGAGAATGTTCTGAGTGTGCAGTACAGTCCGGGTTGGGTTCTGAGCTGAAGGGGGAGGAAGATGGCAGGACTGAGAGGTGAGGAAGACATGCCATCCTCTGCTTGGCTCCACTCCCTGTTGCTGACCTTGGAGGAGAGATGAGCTTCCCCTGAGGTTTCTCTCACCTGGATTTCAGAGCAGGGGTTTGACCCTTGCTGCTCCCTCACCAAACTGATTCTGACTTCAATTAGCCATTGAAAGCAACCAATAAAGAGGAATTAACAGTAGAATCTGGCTCCCATGCCCCGTCCCCCATTTGCCTCAACATCTAGCTGGCTGCTTTGCTGTTTTCTCTGGTTGCCAAATCAACACTGCTCATTTCTTTTCTTTCTTTTTTATTTTTATTTTTTAGTTATACATGGACACAATATTTCTATTTTGTTTATTTTTATGTGGTGCTTAGGATCAAACCAGTGACTTACATGTGGGAGGCAAGTGCTCTGCCACTGAGCCACAACCTCAGCCCCTCAACATTGTTCATTTCCGTCCATCAGCACAACTGGTCAGAGCCCAAGACTGAAGTGAATACATGGAACTGGCTGAGAAACTGCATCCTGAGACATTTTCCTACAGTTTTTGAGCAGATGTCCCACATTGTCTTGGTTCCAGTTCCTTCTCATTAAACCCCTTTCATTCAAGAGCCCCTTTCTTCTTAGAACCTAAAGTCATTGTGTGCTTTAAAACACCAGAGAGATGTCCAGGCAAAGTTGCCTGAGTGACAGGCAGGAGGCTTCCGAGTTCTTTGGGGACTGAGAGGAGAAGCAGATCACAGGTGCTTCCTTTCGGTCCAGCTAAAATAGCAAGGGTCAGGTGCTTCTGTGGTGGGTCTTCCTGCAGGAACAACTGTTTCCCAACTACTGTGTCACATCACCCCTCCTGCCCCTTCCAAGCTCAACCTGGCCGGAGGCAGCTGCATTTCAAAGACAGTAATGCCTCTGTTCTTTATTTATTCCTGGCTTTAAATCTGCTCCATCCAGAGGAGGATGAAGGGAAGGCAGCATTAGCTGGAAAAGCCATGCGGGGACTGCAGGACACAAGGCAGAGCCTTCCCAGGCCAGAGTTGCAGCTTATCAAGTCAGAAACCTGTTGGGAATCAACGGCAGCCTGGAGGTGGTCTTTCCCTTAACCCTTGAACTGCACTTCTCCAGTGGCTCCCCCAGGGCATTAAGCCCCACCTCCCTCCTTTTTCTCTCTGCCTCCCTTTCATTTTTCAATTAATGCCCAGTGCCTTCTCTGTGCCTATTGCTGTGCTGGATCCATTCAGATATGAACATACATGTACTTGCTCTCTGGAGACTCAAAATTTACTGGGATGTCAAACTGGTAAAGAATTGAGACACGTACAATGGAGACTGTGAATGAATGATGACCAAACTCTTCCCACTGAAAAAAGACACTAAGAGTCAAATTGGGGACACCGAATACCCTTGTCCCTTTGGTTCACAGCAGAGACAAGGACTGGAGCTGGTTCTCCATGCTTCTATCACCATGGCCTCACCCCCCATTTCCAGTAGCCCCTCTTTCCCTGCCCCTCAGTCAACTCCCCAAAGCTGCCCAAATGGGCTTATTTTTACCTACTGGGATGGGAAAGGGGCAAAGGCTGAGGCTGGGGCAGTCGAGAGTGGCGCCAGCTAGGGCTTAAATATAATGAGAAAGCCCCTTCCTGCCAACTCTGCCTGAGGAGAACCCAGTAGGAAATAAATAGCACTGTGTGCCCTGCTTGGACTCCAGGCCCCCATATGTCTGCCTGGCTGCAAGCCAGTCGCAGGAGCTGGTTAAAAAGAGACCTTGGGTAATCTCCCAGCTCAGTTGTCTCTTCTGGCATGAGAAGCCACGAAGGTGCCAGCCTTTCTTTATGGGGCCTGAGTGGACAGGGAGGCACAGGGGGAAGGGGCAATTCAGGCCAGGGAGGGAGTCGGCCAGTGAGACTTTGCCCCAGGCAAAACTATCAGTCCTCAGCTGCTGGCACTGGAGAAGGGTGATAACACTGGAGAGGGCAGAGAAGTTGAGAAAGAAGAAGCCTGGCGAAAGTTCCACTGGCAATCTTAGTTTGGCCAAGGTCTTGTTTCCTACACACCCCCACCTGCACGTAGGAACCCATGTGGCACACACACACACGGTGTATCTTTTCTCTTCCAGTTTTGTCCCCTTGCATTCCCTCCTACTCCCAAACTGCCCTTTCCTGGGACTTGGGCCCTGCTTCTTTCTAGGCCTCAGTTTCCCCTTAGGCAGCATGTTTCCAATCTGTGCTCAGGGCCTTTTGGCAATCTAGGACAGTTCACAGCAAGAGGCTCCTGGGAAAAGAGCGTTCACTCTGGAAATGATCTTTTTACTGAAGTCACAGAACTAGGTTAAGTGATTCAGCAAGCCCAAGACCTCCTTGTTCAGACCTGAGTTCCCTGAGATGTTGGGGAAGGAACCCTGAGTTCAGAGACTCATTTGCTCCATGCCTCCTGCTGAGGAAAGTGTCCTGTGATTATGCTTGGACTGGTGCAACCCAAGAACACCTGTTCACTGTAGTGGGTTGGCTGGATAGGGCGTAGAGGTCATGAAGGGACAGAGAACTTGCCCCCTGCAGGATGACAGGTGCTGTGGAATGGGAGGCCGAGGGAACAGGAGCTCTTGCAGGTGAAGCATGACCTCCAGGAGCCCAAGCTAGCATGATGGCCATGGGGGTGGGAGGGCAGGACACACTCAGCAGTTCTTGACTACATGATTAATTTTTTTATTAGTTTATTTTCATTAGGTATATATGACAGCAGAATGCATTCTGATTCACTGTATACAATTACAGCACAACTTTTCATTTCTCTGGTTGTACCCAATGTAGAGTCACACCATATGTGCAGTCATACGTGTTCCTAGGGTAATGATGTCCATCTATTCCACCATCTTTCTTGCCCCCACGCCCCCTCCCCACTCCTTTCTCTCCTTTGCCCCATCAAAGTTCCTCCATTTTTTCCCATGCCCCACCCCTCTCATTATGGACCAGCATCCACTTATCAGAGAGAGCATTCAGCCTTTGGTTTTGGGGGATTGGCTTACTTTGCTTAGCATGATATTCTCCAACTCAATCCATTTTCCTGCAAATGCCAAAATTTTATCCCCCTTTAATGCTGAGTAATATTCCATTGTGATATATACCACAGTTTCTTTATCCATTGTTTTGTTTTTCAAAAGAGAAATCAGACCTCCCCTCCACCAACCCTACACCAAGAAAAAAAATTACTCCAAATTTGCATATCGAAACAGGGAAGGGAACAGAATCATCTGAGATTTCAAAAACTCTAATAAATCTCTAAACTCCACAGAGATTATTCCTAAGGATGAGGACAAATTCCTATTTTCTCTGGTTGAGAAAGTTAATAGTGGGGGACTGGGACATAGAAGCACCTCTCGGGTCCTGAAAGATAATCAGTTAATCTGATTCTGAGCCAAGTTTGGACCACCATGGAGCAGGCATCTGGAGAACCCTGACAGTACAGAATAAGACATGGATGTCAAAAATGTTCCCACAGATACTGTGTCTAATTCTCTTTGAAGACATAATAAGTCAGAGACCATTTACAAAATGTGGACAGGGTTTCAGGAAATTGTGACGGGACTGTGAAGGACACAAACAATAGCCATGTGGGAAAGGAAGAGAAAGAACGGTTGTCTGAATATTGCAGAGCACGGAGCTGTGGGTGACACTGTAGGAGAGAAGCAGGCACTGCCACCTACAGCCAGTGGGGAGGAACCTGGGGTCTAAATCCACTGACCTCACTCCCCTCATCCTATTCCCATGCCTCCCAATGGCCAAACCTAACCAGAAAACAGAGGACAAGGGAGTCTGGCTAATGCAGTCCCAAGTGGCCAACCTCATGGGACAGGGGGCGCCGTGCAGGGTGTGGAGGGTAGATCTGGAGGGACAAACAGTACATGTGGGACGGCTCCCATGACAGATAAACTCACAACATCAATAGACACTTTCTTTTTCTTCTTCTTTTTTTTTCTTTTTTGTTTGGCATGAAATATACCAGTACTGTGCTGTTTAAAAACATAGGAAGGGAGCTTCAAGAACATGATAGCCCAGCTGGGAGACAGGAGCAGGAGCATTCAGAAAAGACTTGGAGGAACTGGGATATGTGATGAGGCTTGCAGGACAGGCAAGCAGAGTCTGGGAGTGCTTTCCTTCACTGTAGCAGAATGCCGCTTAGCTACTCAGTCCACCCCAAGGTCAAGTTTTAGATCTTCCATTCCTGAATGTTTACATGACAGCTATGACCTGGGGAAGATCAATTTGCCTAACTATTGGGTTCTCTGAAGGCCATTTATTAGGTTGTCCTACTGAACTAAGCAATTGCCCAATCAATAAAAATGTACTGGACCCATAAGTAGACTGTGCTGGGAACTTGGGCTGAATAGGACACACTCCTTGTTGTCAATGAGCTCAAATTCTACATAGAATACAGACATGCAAACAAAATTAAGATGTGTTTGGTAGGAGAGATAATGGGACTATGAGCAAAATTCTAGGGAAACAATGGGAAGATTGATGAATTCCCACGGGTGTTTAAAAAATATATTTAATTCCCACGGGTGTTTAAAAAATTTATACCAGATGCAATGGCGCACACCTGTATTCCCAGCGGCTTGGGAGGCTGAGGCAGGAGGATTGTGAGTTCAAAGCCTGCCTCAGCAAAAATGAGTCACTAAGCCACTCAGTGAGACCCTGTCTTTAAATAAATTTAAAACAGGACTGGGATGTGGCTCAGCTGTCAAGTGCCCCTGAGTTCAATCCCCAGTACATGTGTGTGTGTGTGTGTGTGTGTGTGTGTATGCACTACAAACTCATGAATGACCAGGATTTTCTAGGCAGAGAAGGGAATTCCTGGCAGAAAACTTGAAATATGTGGAAAGAGCAACAGTTTAAAAACAAAACAAAACAAAAACAAACAAAACAACAACAACAAAAACTCAGGGTTGCCAGAGTAGAGGATGGCAGGAGTTGAGTCTGGTGAAAGGTTTGGGCAATTTAAAGGGACATCATAGTTCTAGTAAGGAGTTTGTAGGTTAATCAGACAAACAAGGAACTAAAGGTGGTTCTGATGTGGAGGAGTAACATGAAGAGTTTTTTGGGTTTCTTTTTTTTTTGGAAAGATAATTTACTAGGAGGAAATAAAATGCTTTCAAATTCAAGTGAGGCTCCCTGAGATGGGGATCTGTTTCTCTGCCCTCACCTCTGTCT